TTATGTAGTTTTCGCACCTGGTAGGTCATGCCCACTGTCATCTTGTGCCCTGAAAAGAACCGATCTGGACAAGGGTGTTCGGTGATGCTAGGCTTCTTGCGTCGTACAAGGAGTCCATCCAATGCTCCCACACAGCGCTTCAGGACAGGGTCAAGTTGGGAACTTCGAGCAGCAAACCCCTGCGCCTTCGCTTGATGCCGCCGCTCCGTTCTCGGCCACTTTATCCGAAGCCTCCCACAGTCGTTGATGGCGTCCAGCCCTTCCTTGATCTTCGCAAATGCTGTGATCGTGGCCATGTGGGGACCATCAGCCGCAGCGCTGACGTCGTGCCCTGCGAGCCACCGCAACGTGCTAGCTAGTGCCCACTCCCCAGCTATGGTGCCATTGTGGCCATGCCCTTCGGGGCCATGGCCGGCTCCTTCTCACGCATGCTCCACGCCGGGTGTGGACGACTTGGAACGCACAAGCCAACCCTGTCGTCGCGGGGAGGCACCAGAGAGCAGCTGCTGTAACGATTCGCACCCGTGTGTTGCGGCGAGCGACGACGGTACGGCGTGCACCCACTCCAGTGCGAGGCCGAACCACCGTCATCGGGAGTAGTGGCCCTGCGTCTCGTCGTGTGCCTGGTACCTTGTGCAGCGGGCGGCAGCACCAGCTTCCTTCCGTGAACGACCGCAATATGTGTGCCCGCGGTCTGTTCGATATATTTCGCCGCGATTCCTTTGGTTTTTTCTCGGCGGCGGCGTATTTGGGTAGACCCAAACTAAGAAATCAAAAATACAAATCCGATTATTTTCGATTTTTGATTCTGCACTTTGTTTGGCAAGACCCACCCTGAGGGCATCTCCGAAAAACAGGAAAAAAAATCGGGGAGATGTCGCCGTATTGTTGTTGTTGTTGTTGACTTCACATTAAACCGTATGCCAGTTGCTAAATGCCAAAATCTAGCAAAGACTCTCAGCCCGTGGTCACGAAAGTGCTAGAGCCATCTGAGGATCTAAAGAACACGCACGCGTAGCAAGAAAAAGGTATCCAAGAGCCCGAAGAGGTACTACTACACCTATATAATCCCTGCAGCACCGTACGCGTGCCCAAAACTGAACTACACGTCCGTCTCACCGTTCGACTACAGTAACATCACCCCCTACCTGTCCCACTCTGTACCAAAACGAATGATTGCCGACTACAGCATACTTGCTGTCTGAAGTGCTGTCTGTACAAAAACACCATGGTAGGCATGCATGGAACAAGAAGCTGGCGGGGCACAAAGCTGCTGTCTGAAGTGCTGTCAGAATGTGTCTGCGGACGTACAGTGAAAAAGAACCAACCAAAGCCATGATTGCAATGGACAATCACCCGAGTCTCTCCCGATCGTCTGCGTTAGGCACGCAGTGAAAATATCGACAATAGCTAAGAATCGTTCCACATTGAAGGGGTCTTCCACGATCAGGCACGTATGCTGCTCGGGAAATCATGGAAACAAAGGTAGCCTTCATTGACGCTATGGATTCATTGCTGCAATCTGTCGTGGACTCTTTCCTTAGATAGACATGGATTCGTTGTGTCATATTAAGCAAATAAAAAAAGCGCCGTTCATCACATTGCCCGGTTGCGGCACATCGAGCTCGGCTGACACTTACCCTAGCCATAGCTCAATCCTGACAATACAACGAGCGCTTCTCTCAGAGGGTGCAAGCCATGAGTGCTACAAGACCAGATATTGCGCGTAGAGAAACGCTTGCATTTTGCTAACACAAAATAGTAGCAGCAGTGCTGTAGGATATTCGAACGAGGTGTACCCTAGTATTAGACCATGGCCCCAGACTATTCTCGAGATGGGGGACCTGCAAAAAAGGGTTATCGCTTTCAGCATTAGTCTGCTGTAGTGTCCATACAAGGAAACTTCTTACAGCTGACGTCAGTACAGCACCTGGACGAAACACAAGCACACACACGTTGTTTAGCAGATGGGTCTGGTGTGTACGTGTGTACCAGCGACCTCTTATGCCGGTGGACCGCGCTGTGCTGCTGCTGCTGCTGCGCGCGATCTCCGATGAAGAAATTTTTTTGGATGGTGGTGTGTGCTGTGCCCTCTGTGTTGAAGTGTCCAACACTGGTCGCGCAGCCGGACACAAAAGGACTCCTCCAAGGGGCTGCAAACCCGGACGTGGATGTCTTCCATCACTAGAACAAACAGAAGCAGCGCCTGTGATTTTTCCTGCTCAATAATATCGAATCAATCTCCTGTTGGTGGAGACGGGACAAAAAGTACGTCGCCCCGGATCCAAGAGAAAAATCCATGCTGCTCGAGGAGTCCTTCCTAAGCAGAAACACGGGTAGTTGCATCGGCTACTTACTGCTGTATCGTTGCCATAGTTTGAATTCGTTGCGATTTGTTCTGGGGGAGTCTTACCTATGGATGGATAGAGATTAATTCGTTGCGTTCTCGAAAGAAAAAAAGTTAAGAGGGGGTTGTACATGCATCACACCGCCCACCATCTCTGTGGATTTGGGCAACAAAAAGGGGTTTGCCCACCGGTCAAAAAACACCAGCCTGAAGCATGTGTTGTCTCAAAGTGTGGGCATGGAACGGTTAGGCCGCCGTAGAGCGATTTCTCGCTGCTATGCATCGTGCCTGCCAGCTCAGAGGAAACGTGCATCCTCACAGGAAAACCGAGATTCAGATTGTGGATGAAACAAAGATGTCTCGATAAAAAAATAGGACGCACACACGGCACCACACTGAAACCTGCCTTTTACATGCAGCCGATCGATTAGCATGCAGCTTACATGTAGTAGAAAATATCCCGCGCTCGATCATTGAGACGCTAAGGGATTCGAGCCTTACTCAAAACAGGTGCTTCCTTACAAGAGGAACCGGCACGTTTTATATCTCTCAATCCCAGCCCAGCGCACACGTTCCTTCCCGCCCACCACAAAAACGCCGTTCATTAACCGTTCACAAGAAATAGGAGTACTTCATACGATCTATGGTCCGTTCGGGCAAATATTCACAATATTTTCCCCTGCACAAAGGTGCACATTTCTCGGGGGGGGGGTACTTATTCCGAAATCTGAAAATACCGCGTAAATCGACGTTTCATGGCGCATCTTCGTCCGGAGTTTTCTTTTTTTTCGTCCTTCGCTCGATATGTTCAGATATTCAAGAAATCTTGCTTACTTTCTGGAGGGCGGTGTTTTTTGCAGACACAAAATCTGAGACCGGATTTGGACAGCTCTCGTGATTTGCCACCGATGATTTTTTTCCGATTTCCAATTTCAC